TGGATGGAGGCAGAGGCTTCCTGAATCTTCAAGTACTGCATGGATTGTTGTATTAGGTTGGTACATAAGTGAGCCAGAAGAATAGTGTCTGGAGGCAGGGAACCTAAGGCCGATTCACTCTGACTTCCTAGAACTAAATCAAAAGGAAAACCCCAACTTTCCACACCTAAATAAAAAAAGGACCAGAGGCTACTACCTTTGCAATCCCCCTCCCCCATGCCTTTCTGTGTCATGATGGAAAATTGAAAGTATCTCTGATTGGTTGCTTTCTGCATAGGAAAGTGACGTTGTAACCAATCAGACTTATTGCTGGCCAAGTCTTGTCTGCATAGAAATATAACTTTGTAACTTCACTTTAACCTCTGATTGGTTGCTTTCCATAACCAATCAGATGCTGGCATAGGGTGTAACCATTGTGACTTCACTTCAGCCTCCGATTGGTTCTTGAGTCCTGGAGCCTGTGGAGGGTACTTTTATTTTCAGTAAATTTCTGCTTTTGCGCTTCATTCTTAACTTGTTTTGTGCATTTTGTCCAATTCTTCATTTAAGTCATCAAGAACCTGGACACCTTCCAGTGGTAACAAAAGTTGCTGTTTTTGCCATTAGAAGTAATGGCACAGAACAAGTGCTTTATACAGGAGAGCGATTTCTTACGGAAAATTCAATAGCACGTAAGTCAGTGCTCAGGGTATGGAAACTGGGAACTAGTGGAGGAAGGACTCCAACTCACACTTGTGGGATATCCAAGTCTTTGAAAGTCCGTCCCACCCTGTGTGAAGAATGACAGCGCAGCTGGAGTCGTCACCGGGGGCTTTGGGGGGGCTGAACTTGTCATTTGAGGGTGTAGGGAGGTTGGATTAGTCACAGGGGTGCAGGGAGGGGGCTCACTGGCGTGCCACCAGGACCCCAGCATCCTGGATTCAAATCTAGTCATGCCTCCCACGCTCAGAGGCAAACCCCCTTCCCGTTGGGGGGCAGAGTCAGACAAGACCCCCTCTCCTTCCTTTTCCAGGTCCGGTGGGGCGGGGCTTAGAAGTAATGGCAAAACCAGCAATTACTTTTGCACCAACCTAGTATCTTCCCAGTTTCCCTCTCCTCGCTCCCTACCACCTGAGTGTGTTTGGAAGTTCTGTGTACCTGCCTGATCACCAGGTGCTAGTAGCTGGGCCGGAATGACCTCGGCACTTTAAGGACGATTTACTACAGGAACAGGTGAGTTGACGGCCAATTCCCCAGGTGTAGCCTGTGACCATAGAATCAGACAAAGCCCTGTTATCTGGAATTCAAAAAAGCAGTAGCCCTACCAGATAGCGTAAGAATACAAGATAGGATTCTTCCTATCCAAATAGGTTGCATACGATTAAGAGCATGAAAGATCCAACAGAATGTACTCAAAGTAGTTTTTGAGCTTAATAGACATTTAACTATCTTATGGAAAAGAATCGCAAAAACACAGAAACAGTGAAGAAGGTTAATTACAGCCTTGATGGGGTAGCAGACTTCAGCAGTCTCAACTATCTGAGAAGGTATTTACCAGATTATGGTTGGGAACGTAATCCAGAAATCATTTGAGATAATATACTCGTTTCCTTACTGGGTAAATGTGTTTTAACCTTGAGAAAATGTAGACATAAGTAGAATACAGAATATATTAAACCTGCGGTAGTAATGTTTTAGGATTAAGGAATAAGTACATATTTAATATTTAATCCTTGAGATAATTTATTCGAGTAACAGGTTACTCTTGTGACTGCAATATAAAATGCGTCATTGAAAAATTAGCATCTGCTTGTGATTTTTTTTTTTTTTTTTTTTTT